TCTTTGCTACTAAATGTCTACCTTTACATTTCCAACCCTCACAATCAGTCCTGATACTAATTATTCACTATTGTATCACAAGAGACCTATCCTCATTTCATTTTATTAGCCCCGCCTAGACAGATTGGATACTACTCAGTGGAGATTCTACCTTCCTTTAGCTTCCTTCTTAAAAGCATCATTTTATGTCTTCTCTGGAACTAAGACCTCTGAACCTCCATAGCATAAAATCGTATGGACAGAAAGCAAAAGTTTTGCTAGAGATAACAGTAGGTGGTATCATTCCTACTTCCACCTTTGAATCCAATCTATGGGAGAAACATCCATAAACAGATGCTGATATAGAGCATATTCAGCTTTTTTGGGGGGCATTGCTCAGCCTTGCAAGGTATTGTTACCTATATATAGTGCTATAGCCAAGTCTCCAAACGGCCATTTCAATATTCTATCAAGTCAACTGCTTCAGAAACTATGATGTGTATTATACAAAATAAGTGCCACTCAATTCTTCTTAATAATATGATATGAATTTATATTCTGTGATTTTTGCCAACTTGACCCTTTAACTTCTGTGGAGGACTATTTACTTGGTTCCACATCTTGTCTTTTTCTGTATGTTCGTTGTTATACTAGTTCACTACAAATTCAACCCACCCTGTGTTTTATAGATAAGAAATTCATGAATGACTAATAAGACTGATTTTAGAATCCAATATTAGAAGCTAGGTCAGAGTTAATTTTATATCTCAGTATCTTATATAGTAGAAGCCATGGCTGAGTCATGTTGAGTGAAGAGGAAGAGTTTAGCATAAATTTCCATATTAAGGGTCATCCTACATACCAACATAATTTGGTTTTGAGATTTGTGTTCCAAATCTGTCTTTGACTAAAGTACCCAGATTCAGTTTAACAGATTTCTGATTTGGATTTCCTGTCTCACATACCCAGCAAAATTTTCATATATTTTTAGGCAGGAACCAAAATTATACCCTGCCCACTTGGGATGAAGGAATTCCTCCCTCCCTGAATACCAGCCTTCTGGCCATACAGGCCTTGCCAACATTTTTTTTAAAGATGCAAAGACTGAATCCAAGTTCCTTGTGACCATGCAAGTCAAGCAGCACAATACAGGGACATGTTTTAAAGGATCAGCTTCACCTTTTAATGATTTCTTTCTTTCTTTTTTTGTTTTTTTGGAAGGTTCTTAACAAAAAGCATCCCCCAATCATTTAAACCAAGAACAGTTGAATAGTTCGATTCACGCTTCGTTTTGTAATAAGACCAAGGTCAATGTAAAAAAGAATCCCTCCCCCTTTATACAATCATAGTCCTACCACCCTAGGTATAGAGATGGTTCTTTAATCACCAGAATGTAGGAACTAAAATAAATCAGATGATAGCTAATAAAAAACAATAAGAAATCCCAATAGGATATGCAATACAATCAGTTTCTAATTTCTGTTCCTTATGGAATGGGAAAATAATTCAAGAGATGTTATGTTTGTAGCAGGAAAATAGTGTATTTTGCTATGGGCAGATGCTCATGTTACCTAAAAATCTGAGAGAAAACAATAGGAGAATTAACAAAGGATTGAGAGAGGGTGAAAATTGAAATATAAATATAAATATATCAAGTAAATCCAAAGCAAACCCAAAGAAAATCAAAATTTTATAATGCTAATATTTTGCAACACTAAATATTTTGTCATATAGTTTACTACATGACAAGCTAGAAAATAATGTAATAATAATAATAGTTTTTAAAATACTTTGAAAATAAGTTATTTCAATGTAGATGACCTGACTCTATTTAAACTATATCCTCAGTAAAATAGGTGTGCAGAATCTCCAGAGCAAGAATGATGTATCAAGATTTATAGCTACCACCTAATGTTTTCATTCCATCTGCTTATACTTGGACTGAATTCAATGTGTCTTTTCATATAAAACAAATCAGGTTACATGATGCCTGACCCAATATGGCAAAAATCCCATCTAATATTATATCTGAAATAAGAAAATAAAGAACAATACAATTATAAATAATGGTCAAACTTATAGAATTAAGGATGCCGAGGTAGCTTTCTACTCAATAATGAAAGATAATAGTTCAATATTTAAGAAACAGATTGCTTAAAAGATTATTAGTCTGAGAAATATAATGCATTTGTTTTATTAATATTTCCAAGTGAATTATAGGAATATTGAGCTTCCAGAATTTAAACACATTGCATAGTGAAAAGGAAGTAATTTCTATAATTTACATATTTCTTCTCATGTTATAAAGGTACATTAGTTAATATTTCTGACTTTTAAAACTGAATTCTAAACATTTATACCTATTTCACTTATATCCTGTCTCCAGGTGCTTTGTAATTGTTGAGGATTTGGGAAAGCTATCTTATTTGCTAGAATGGTCTGGTGATTCTAAGACCCCATCTGTTTCTGAAGCACTCTTAATTTGTTTAGATTGTTGAAGGACATCTCAGAAGCCATGCTAGCAATTAATATTCTTGATTGAATTTCATAGCATATACAGATTGAAATGGGTTGATTTCATTTGTTTGATATGACTCAGGTCTATACCAGCAGAAGCAGGTGCTGCAGCTTGGAAAACAGATAAATTCTTTTGGACAATTTGCACAAGAGTTTTAGGGTATCTAGAAACAGTCATGCTTATCCATAATTCAATAGAAAGATGTTACAAGTCAAGCACATAGGGCTTTGCCTAATTTAGAAATTGTGTCATCCTCACTTCTCTGCCAATCTAATATTTAAGAAATAACTTACTTAGCATAGTGGTTACGAGTCGGGCTGCTAATCCCAAGGTCAGCAGTTCAAAACTACCAGCGGTTCCACAGGAGAAAGATGAGGCTTTCTGTTTCTGTAGAGATTTACAGTCTCAGAAAACATATACAGGGTCACTATGAGTCAGAACTGACTCCACAGCACATAACCACCACCACCATAGATGAAATGAACAGAAATCTGTAAGATTATCCCAAAGGAAAAATTTCCAAGTTGGCCTAGTATATCAGCATGTGCATATATACATGGTATTGAAAATAAAGAGAAATATATGAAAATATGGTAGTGAAAATTTTCAGTTCTATGAAAACATACTATTTAAGTGGAAATCAATAGATTTTAGAAAAGATTATGCAGAGTAAATGAACTAGACCACCACAGCTACTTATATACTATTATCATAATCAACTGATGTTTAGCTCATGTAGTAAATTATCGATCCGTGTTTTAATACATTCATTTGTCCTTTTTTAGGTACCCAGGTTTTGCAACAGATTCAACTGTTGCCTTGGTTGTAGGACTCCTGTTTTTCCTTATTCCAGCTAAGAGATTAACTAAAACTACACCCACTGGAGAAATTGGTTAAGTACCATTAATAATTCTGAATGAATTCAACAAAAGAATAAAACTATGCCCTATTGGTTTCCGTTGGCATTTAGAATAGAAAGATGGGCATGCAGATACAGCCTCTGGGTTACCTGACCACAGTGGCACACTACAACCCCAATTTAGCCAGAATGTGTTCTCTACCCACAAGGGGAAGCCTCTTGACAGAAGGGGTCACTCAATTCCTTTAGGTACCACGACTAGGGCTCTGTCACAAGAGGTACTGTTTGATCTGTAAAAAGTGTCCTTCCCTGCCATAGTCAGACTTAGCAACAGTCATTACTTTGTGATTAGTCCTTGATAATAAATGTTAAAAAGGTAATGAATTCAAAGGGAAAGAGTATTTACAGTCTCATTTGTTGTTGTTAAGTGCCATTGAGTGGATGCTGACCCATAGCGACCCGGTATAGGGTTTCCAAGGAGCAGCTGGTGAGCTTGAACTGCCGACCTTACAGTTCAAACGGCTTTGCAGTCTGGCGCATTAACCCACAACACCACACCAGGACTCCATTTGTTGTTGTTGTTATGTGCCATCGAGTCGGTTCCGACCCATAGCGACCCTGTATAGGGTTTCCGAGGGTGTAAATCTTTACGGGAGTAGAAAGCCTCATCTTTCTTCCGTGGAGCAGCTGGTAGTTTCGAACCGCTGACCTTAAGGTTCGCAGCCCGATTCGTAACCACTACGCTACCAGAGACTCCATAGTCATCCTGAAAACATACAAATCCATATCACACAAGTCATAAGCTGTTGTTCCACTGAAAGGGAAGATATTCTGAGAGCATCCATTGTATTTACAACACCTATGCAGAGAAACATGCACTTTTGCAAACACATGCCCCTAGAAAAACACACACACACACACACACTACTTAAACATAGACATCTTCCATATTTATTTTTCATACATGTTTTGGGCGGTTGAATTCCTGTGTTGTCTGTGTGAGACAAATGGTTATAATAGAGAATAATCTTGTAAGGGTGGGTATTTTATAGGAATGGAACTGGGATTCATACAGTTGGGTTGGTTTGGCTTACCTGTATCTTTGAGCAATCATATATAAGTGTCTGATATCTAAGATATGATATATGTAACCATCATAGTGTAAAAACACACCTTTGTTCTTTACTCCAGATTAAAATATCACACAAACATGGTCTTTAATAATATGTTGCAATATATGTATTTTTACTCATAGAGACCTTTAGGACTCTGCCTATTACAGTCAAAGTTCCAAGGCCTGGCTGTAGCAAATTTTGAGATTGATCCCTCTGTATAACATGTCCAAAGTCTGTGGGAATATGGCTCACTACCCTCACTTGTAAAGAACAGTCTGACTTTACTTTGTCCCAGATAGATTTGTTTACTTTTCTGACAGTTTGAGCTATAGTCAATGCTCTTTGCCAATACTATAACTCAAAGGCATCAATTCTTCTGTCTTTTTTATTTATTGTTCAGTTTTGTATGCATATGAGGGGATTTAAAATACTATGGCTTCGGTCAGGTGCCTCTTAGGCCTTAAGGTGACATCTTTATGTTTAACACTTTAGAGAGGTCTTTTGAAGCAGATTTGCCCAATGCAACATCATTTGATTTCTTGACTGGGGCTTCCGTGAATGTTGTTTATGAAATCCTTGACAATTTCAATATGTCTACCATTTATCATGATACTGCTTATTGGTCCAGTTGTGAGGATTTTTGTTTTCTTTATGTAGATAAATATTCCATATCAAAGGCTGCAGTCTTTTATCTTCATCAGTAAGAGATTCAAGCTCACTTACCTTTCAGTAAATGAAACAAATAATTAGTTGTAATAATTATATTAGTACACTGTGTCATCAAATCCAATGGAACATTACATTTTACATTTTAAAAAACTGTGTAATTCACTATATATGTGACTCATAGTAGACATAGAGTTAGTAGAATGAATGACTAAATGTATGAATAACATTACTGATGACAATGTTATATTTATCTAAATTTATTGTATGATATTACCTAAGAGGTTTTTCTAAGTTATAGCATATAGGAATAATATAAACTTCCTGTAAGATGGTTATTCAGTATTTTGAATTAAAATGTGATATTGTCATATTTTAAGCCATATGTAACTCTAGGACATTTGTTTTACAGTTGCTTTTGATTATTCTCCACTGATTACTTGGAAAGAATTCCAGGCATTTATGCCCTGGGATATAGCCATTCTTGTCGGTGGAGGGTTTGCCCTGGCAGACGGCTGTGAGGTAATACTCGGTGTATAGGATATTGAACAATTAGCAAGACTATTCAAAAGAAAAACACAGAGACATTTGGGTTTGGGCATATTCATCTATATTCTATCATTTTAATAATACAGATTGCAAGAATCACCAGTGAGTTTATCACACAGAAGAACTGAGTTCAGAGTTCAAGAATTTTTACAGAATACAAGCATAAAACATTTTTTTATGGTGCTCCAATATGACAAAAGAAATAAAGCAAAGAAGATTAAAATTATTAATTCATGGAATTGTATTAGAAGACTAGCTTGTAGTTGTTAAGTGCCATTGAGTTGGTTCTAATCTATAGTGACCCTGTATAGTGTTTACAAGGAGCAGCTGGCGAGTTTGAACCAGTGACCTTGTGGTTCATATCAACTTTGCAGTCCAGTGTATTAGCCCACAGTGCCACACTTATTAAGGAAAAAAAAAATGAAAATAATATGTAAAATGATTCCTAGTGAGCGTAGTTTTTGTTTGCATATAATTTTGTCTTATTTCATGATGAATTTGAGTAGTTTCTAGACTTCTCTTCAAAATATCATGGTGTTCTTGTTATCAAAGGAGAAGGACAATTAGATTAGCATTAAAGACACTTTTTAAATCTTTATTAAAAAGTTAAGAGAGTGTTTCGTATAGGCTTGTCTAATACTGTATATCATCTTAGGAAGCAATTCTAACATCACAAGGAATAATGTCGGTTGTTTCTGTGTCTTATTTATCCGGTTGTTAAAAATTAGTAATCTGGGGAGGCTCTTGTCTTTTTGAAGTGCCCTGTTCATTTTCTCCAAAAATTCCTTTAAAATTCTTTACCCTTTGATTACTTAAAAACTTCTCATTTCTGGAGTTTATATTCTCTTCTGAAATACTCAAAAGTTCATGGTGACTCATTTCTTTCTCCAGCCTCCAATTCTCAAATTGAAAACATTGACAAGAACAATGTTCAGGCAGTTAAATTTTTATACTTCTTAAGATCAATACAGGGTCCTGGTGTGGCACTGTGGGTTGATGTGCTGGACTGCAAAGCCATTTGAACTGTAAGGTCGGTGGTTCAAATTCACCAGCTGCTCCTCAGAAACCCTTTACAGGGTTGCTATGGATTAGAACCAACTCGACGGCACTTAACAACAACAATAAAATCAATAACTCTCCTCTTCTCCTCTCAATAACTCTCTTCTTCTCCTCTCTTCCTTCCCCTTCCTGTCTCTTCTGTTCTTCTGTTTTTTGTTTCTGACTTAAACAGCCCTGTTAGAACAGTGTGCTCATGATTTTACTGCTTACCACAGGTCAGAGGTTCACATATATCAGCTGCTTCATGGGGAAAAAGAGTAAGTTGTCTGTTCCTGGAAATATGTACTGGAGCAATTTTCCTTTGTCCGATGGGGTCACTGTGTTGTTTTTTCCATACCAATAGCTAGTCCTTCTCATCTTTGCTTCTGACTTCACTGTGAATTTTTCCTATGTAGCATTTGGATACTGAGCTTTCAGTATGAGAATTTAGTAATAGCTATAAATCTTAGAAACTGTCTCAATTTGGAGTGCCACTTAAAATATCTTTTAGGCCTAGATTTGGCTTGTCTCACAGACACCCCAAATAGAAATGAGAAATATAAAATAAATGCGCTCTTCTTCCCCACTGTTTCAACAAGATCGGGTTTCTCAGGATAAATAACTTTCATCTCTATGTCTGTTTATCTGAATTGTTGTGAAATTAGAATCAGAAAGTCTGATATTGATGTGAATTTTTTTTTTTCATTTCTCCTCCCCAGAATGTCAGTCTGGATTGGACCCCAGATGATCACTGTGGTTTTAAAAGCATTGGTCAGACCCCAGAGTAGCCAGCATCAAAGGAAATGAAAAGGGTGGGATTAGCCTGATGAATTAGGTTCTCTCAGCTGGAGGTTAAGGGGAACCATGGAAAGAGGTCTAATTTGCTAAAATATCATAAAACATATCATCAGGTCTCTATGGAATGGTCAGAAAACCCCCCCCCCCCCGCATGAACACAAGGATCAAAAGAATTAGCTTCAAAAATATGATTAGGGATAAATCTGCCCCTAGAAACTGGCTTTACACAGATTTGGAGATTATTAATGTGTTTAAATTTGGCACAAATTGTCATTAGTCTAGTAAAGGTCCAGCACCAAATACTTCTTCAAGTCGGGAATGAAGTTAGAGCAGCTAATAAGGTGTTCAACTCATTACAAATCCCTCTCTCTTAAATACTCCCTGATTTCCTTTTAACATGATCTCACTGCCCTGTTGTTGTTGTTAAGTGTTATTGAGTTAGTTCTGACACATAGTGACCCTGAATTGGATTTTTGAGAAGCAGCTAGTGGGTTTGAACTGGTGTCCTTGTGGTTAACATTCCTGTGTTTATCCTACAGTGCCACACCAGGGCGCCTGCATTGTTGTTGTTAAGTGCCATCAAGTTTGTTCTGACTCATAGCAACCATGTTTCCAAGGAGTGGCTGTTGAATTTGAGCCACCAGTGTTGTGGTTCAAACGAACCCTGTGGTTTAGTGCTTGTCCTATACCACCACACCAGGACTTCCTATACTGCTGTTCTTGTTGTTAGGTGCCATTTAGTCGGTACCAACTCATAGCAACCCAATGCACAACAGAATGAAACACTACCCAGTCCTGGGCCAACCTCACATTTTTTGCCATGCTTCAGCCCATTGATGCTGCCACTTTGCCAATCCATCTCATTGGGGGTCGTCCTCTTTTTCTCTGACCCTCCACCTTACAAAACACGATATCCTTCTCCAGCAACTGGTCCCTCCAGACAATATGTCCGAAGCATGAGAGACCAACTTTGGCCATCCTGACCTCCAATGAGCACTCTGGCTGCACTTCTTCCAACACAGATCTGTTGGTTCTTTTGGCAGCCCATGGCACTTTCAATATTCTCCTCCAACACCATAACTCAAAAGCATCGATTCTTCTATTGTCTTCCTTATTCACTGTTCAGCTTTCGCATGCATATGAGGTTATTGAACATTCCATGACTTGGGTCAGGCACACCTTAGTGCTCAAGCTGACATCTTTGCTCTTCAACACTTTAGAAAGGTCTTGTGCAGCTGATTTGCCCAATGCAATATGTCATCTGATTTCTTGATTACTGCTTCCATGAGTGTTGATAGTTGATCCAAGAAGAATGAAGTCTTTGACAACTTCAATCATTTATCCATTGATAAGAATGTTTTTATTGGTCCAGTAGTGAGGATTTGTGTTTTCTTTACATTGAGATGCAATCCATACTGAAGGCTGTGCTCTTTGACCTTCATCAGTAAACCTTTTAAGTCCTCTTCATTTTTAGCAAGCAAGGTTGTATCATCTGCATATTGCAGGTTCTTAATGAGTCTTCCTTAGACCTTGAAGCCACTTTTTTCTTCATACAATCCAGCTTCTCAGTTTATTTGCTCAGCATACAGGTTGAATATGAATGGTGAAAGAATACAACCTTGTTGCACACCTTTCTTAATTTTAAACCATTCAGTGTTCCCATGTTCTGTTCAAACAATTGCCTCTTGGTCCATGTACAGATTCTTCATGAGCACAATTAAGTGTTCCGGAATACTCATCCTTTGCAATATTGGCCATAGCTTGTCATGATCTACACAATCAAAAGCCTTTGTGTAGTCAATAAAGCACAGGTAAACATCTTTCTGATATTCTTTGCTTTCAGTCTAGATCCATCGGACATCAGCAATGATATGCCTCATTCCATGGCCTCTTCTGAATCCAGCTTGAACCTCTGGAAGTTCTCTGTCAATGTATGCTTACAGCTGTTTCTGTATTACCTTTAGTGAAACTTTACTCGCATGGGGTATCAAAGAGATTGTCCGATGATTTCCACATTTCTATGTATTCCATCTGGTGAGGCCCATGTGCATAGTCATCTCTTATGCTGTCTAAAGAAGGTATTTGAAATGAACAAATCATTGGTTTTACAGAATTCTATCATGCATTCTCCAGCATCATTTCTAGCACCAAGGCCATATTTTCCAACTACTGATCCTTCCTCTTTGCTCCCAACCTCTGCATTCCAATCACCAGTAATGATCAATACATCTTGATTACATGTTTGATCAATTTCAGATTGAAGAAGTTGGTAGAATTCTTCTATTTCATCCTCACTGGCTTTAGAGGTTTGTGTGTAATTTTGAATAATAGTGGTATTAACTGGGCTTCCCTGTAGACACATGTATATTAGCCTATCACAGACAGCATTGTACTTCATGACTGATCTGGATATGTTCTTTTTGACAATAAATGCAACACCATTCCTCTTCAATTTGTCATTTCCAGCATAGTAAACCATGTGGTCATCAGGTTCAAAATGGTCAATACCAGTCCATTTCAGCTCACTAGTGCCTAAAGATATCGATGTTTATGCATTCCATTTCATTTTTGACAACTTCCAATATTCCCAGATTCATACTTTGTACATTCCATGTTCTGATTTTCAATGGATGTTTACAGCTCTCTTCATTTTGAGCGTGCTCCATCAGCAAATGAAGGTCCCGCATGCTTTTCTCCCATGAGCTTTACTCCAGTCACGACATCACGGTCAACTCTACTTTGAGGAGGCAGCTCTTTCCCAGTTGCATTTTGAGTGCCTTCCAACCTGAGGGGCTTATTTTCTGGCTCCATATCTGACAGTTTTTCTCTGCTATTCATAATGTTTCAGTAACTAAATATTCAGAAGTAGTTCATCTCGCCTTCTTCCTAGTCTGTCTTCATCGGGAAGCTTGTCTGAAACCTGTCAACCATGTGACCCTGTTAGTATTTAAAATACCAGTGGCAGAGCTTCCAGAATCACAGCAACTCACAAGCTACCACAGAATGACAAACTGACAGACGAGTGATGGGGGAAATATAATTTAGATTTGGGAAAATGTAGACCAGAGTGTACTAAATGACTTATTACAATACCCATATGTAAATTTAATGAAATTAAAATTGAATTGAAAAAATGAAGAGAATAAATCACATTTCTTAAAGCAGATTGGTAGTACAATCTAAGAGCTTGCCAATGTCAGCCACTCAGACCTACCCAATTTCAGAAAAATATAGATTAAAATTGTATTTTAGGAACAACCCTGAGAGTAAATTTAATTTTAATGTGTTGAAATTGTGTCTTTTTTATCAAATGAATTATGAACAAATAACAAGTATGGCAAATTTGTTTTATAGGTGTCAGGACTGTCAAATTGGATAGCAAATAAATTATCTCCTCTAGGTTCCTTACCAGTGTGGCTAATAATTCTGGTATCTTCTTTGATCGTGACATCTTTAACAGAGGTCGCCAGCAACCCAGCCACTATAACTCTTGTTCTCCCAATATTATCTCCATTGGTGAGTATTCCAGTTAATGCCCTGTCACTGTTGACCAAGAGCAGGGATCTACTTTGGAATGTTGGTTCTCATTTTGTGGTGTAGTTTCATTTTTGTTTTTGCCTCATATGTCCTTCTAGAATTAATTAAAAGAGAAATTTATATTAGCCTTCATTAAAAAAAAAAAAAAGAGATCTGGGCATCAGAAACCAGTTTTTTCCCCTGTTCAAACTCCTGATCTTAAATGAACAACTACCTACCTTCTCTCCTATTGTTTCTTCATTGGAAGAAAAATGAGAGGACCAGCCTGGGTTCATTACAGTTGCAAGGTTTTGATGGTCAGTTTTCCTGTCAACTTTAGATCTCTAACACTGACATGTCTTTTGCTGCAGATTATTCCTAGTTTTCTTAGAAGTGATTCCTTCCTATCACTTAGAAGTGATTCCTTCCTATCACTTAGAAGTGATTTTCAAGTGAATGAAGAACTAGGTTTCAGTTTAGATTCAAGCTTAAATATATTAGAAAAAGTTCTCTAGTGGCTCAGGGAAGATGAATAAAGAAGAAGCAGAGGTGCTAGGTGACACACAGGAAGACTGTCCTCTTTTCTTCTCTCCACCTAGATGGCTTCTGTTTTTCAGCATCACGGAACTTCACATATCACAAGGGGACTTCGGAGCAATCCCATTATTTTTAAATTCTGTGTAACTTTTTTAAGTTACCTTATACATATCTTCATTTAAATAAGCTTTGATAAGGGTGGAGGAGCCTTAAGGCAAAGTTAAAAGTCAAAACCACACACACACACACACACACATGCATATATACATGAGGGTGAGTCAAAAATTAACTGCTCTCTGGCTGTAGAATTTGTTTTAATCAACTTTTAGAAAAGACAAATACATCATTTTTCAACATAATTTCCTTGCTTTTTAATATACTTTGTCCATCTGTCACCAAGCTTTCGTATTCCCTTATTAAAAAATGTTTCAGGCTAAGCTGTGAGCCACAAATGTACTGCTGTCTTTCCTTCTTCAGCAGAAGTGAATCTTCATCCTCGAAGGGCTGCTTTCAGGGGAACAAACAGCTGAAAGTCCAGTGGAGCAATATCAGGACTATAGGGAAGATGCTTTAATACCTCAAAATGAAGTTTTTGCAAAGTGTCAAAGTTTTGGCTGAGGTGTGTGAACATGTATTGTCATGCAGGAGCATAATGCCCTTAGATAGCAGTCCTCTGCATTTTAGTTCAAAGTTTAGGTTTTCTCTTTTCAGTGAGCATTTGACTATAATTGCTTGTGAACCTTTCTTCCTGATAGTGTTCCAATACTGGCCCTTGAGAATCCCAGGAAACTGTAAGCATCCATTTCTCAGCTGATGGTTGACTTTTGAACTTTTTCTTGGATGACAATTGAGAATGTTTCCATTTCATACTCTGCTGTTTACTCTCAGGAAACCCACCAAGATAAAGTTAGAAAGTCAACCTTGTGACTTATACATATATATGACTGAGCTTGAAAAATGGAATTAAAAAATAATGGAATCTTTCCACGTATTTTATACTATATGCTTTTGTTATTGTTAGGTACTGTTGAGTCAGTTCAGACTCACAGCAACCCGATGCACAATAGAATGAAATACTGAGCAGTCTTGAATCATTGTCACAGTGTTATGTTTGAGGCCACTGTTGCTTCCACTGTGTCACTGTGTGAGGCCATCTTATTGGCAAGCTTCCTGTTTTTCACTGACCCTCCACTTTTTCAAGAATGATGTCCTTTTTCAAGAACTGGTACCTCCTTACAACATGTCCAAAGCATGAGAAACAAATCTTACCATTCTCGCTTCTAAGGAGCACTCTGGCTATAGTTCTTCTGGCCATCCATAGTACTTTTCATATTCTTTTCCAAAACCATAATTCAAACGTGTAGATTCTTCTATGGTCTTGCTTATTCATTGTCCAACTTTCACAGGCATATGAAGCAACTGAAAATACCATGGGTTGGGTTGTTGTTGTTAAGTGCCATCGAGTCAAGTCGGTGCCTACCCATAGCGACCCTATATAGGGTTTCCGAGGAACAGCTGATGAGTTTGAACCACCGACCTTGCAGTTCAAATGTCTTTGCAGTCTGGCACATTAACCCACAGTGCCACAGGGGCACCTTAATACTCAATGTGATATCTTAGCTCTTCAAGAGATTTTTTTGCAGCAGATTTGCCTAATGCAATACATTGTCTGATTTCTTCACTGCTGCTTCCCATGAGCATTGATTATGGATCCAACTAAAATGAAGTATTTGACAACTTCAATTTTTTCTCTGTTTTTCATGATAAACAGTTGTGAGGATTTTTGTTTTCTTTACATTGACATGCAACTCATACTGAAGACTAGTTTTTTTTTTTATCTTTATCAGTAAGTATTTCAAGTTCTCTTCACTTCAAGCAAGCAAATTGTGCCATCTGCATATCTCAGGTTGTTAATGAATCTTCCTCCAGTTCTGATGGCAGGTTCTTCTTTATATATTCCAATTTCCCAGATTATTTGCTCAGCATGCACGTTGAGTGATTATGGTGAAAGGATCCAACCCTGATGCACACCTTTTCCTGGTTTTAAACAATTTAGAATCACCTTGTCCTGATTGAATGATTGTCTCTTGGTCTATGTACAGGTTACTTATCCATAGTTTGTTATTGACACAATTTAATGCCTTTGCATAGTTGATAAATCACAAGTGAATACCTTTATGGAATTCTCTGCTTTCAGCCAAGACTCATCTGACATCAGCAATGATAGCCTTAGTTCCATGTCCTCTTCTGAATACAGCTTGAATTTCTGGCAATCAAAACACCATTTTAGTTTATTGCTGTACTCATTTTTTAATTATCTTCAGCAAAATTTTACTTGCATGTGATATTAATGATATTGCTTGGTAGTTGCCACAGTCCTTTGGGTCACCTTTCTTTGGAATTGGTGTAAGTATGGCATCAGTTTGTTGAAGCATTTCAATTGGCATTTTGTCAATTCCTGGAGCCTTGTTGTTTTGCCAATGCCTTCAGTGTGACTTGGATTCTTCCTTTAGTTACCTTGGTCCTTGATCATATAGTATCTCTTGAAATGACCGAATATCAACCAATTATTTTTGGTATACTGATTCTGAATTTTCCTTCCATCTTCTATCGATAGTTCCAATGTCATTCAATATTATGCCTATAATATTGAATCCTTCAATGGTGCAATGGGATTCTTGAAGTTTTTTCTTCAGAGAAATACTGAGCATGTTTTATATGCTACATGTGGGATCGATATGCTCTACAGATAATGCTAATAAAGATCATTCTTTCTTAGGGTTAGTTCTTAATTCCATTTTTACCAAGAACATTTGTAGTTTCCTTCAAATGTGTCAAGAGCTCTAGTGTTGTAAGAGTTAAAAACTCAGCTGCTAACTGAAAGGTGGACAATTTGAACTTATCCAGCAGCTTTGTGGGAGATCTGCTTTATAAAGATTTTAGCCACGGAAATCCTATGGGGAAATTCTACACATGCATATATAATAGAAACTTGCTGTGTATGTTGGAATTTACTCCACAACATCACATATATATGTATATACACACACAGCATTATCGGTATTGTTGTAGTTAAGTGCCGTAGAGTTGCTTCCAACCCATAATGACTCTGTACAGAGTTTCCAAGGAGTGATTGGTGAGCCTGAACCACCAACCTTGTGGTTCAAACCAACTTTGCAGTCCAGTGCATCAATCCACAATGTCATACCAGAACTCCCACACACAGCATTGTACTTAGCATTAAGTAAATAATTAATGGCTGCAATTTTAAAATTGAGTTTCTTGAATAAAAATTAACTTCCTAAATAAATTAGGCTGTAAGACACTTAAATGGGTGTCTATAACCATATAAAGGAGTCCTGGTGTGGCGCTGTGCATTAATGCACCAGACTTCAAAGCCATTTGAATTGCAAGGTCGGTGGTTCAAGCTCACCAGCTGCTCCTTGAAAACCCTATACAGGGTCACTACAGGTCGGAATCGACTCGATGGCACTTGACAACAACAACAACCATATAAAAGTAAACATAGTAGCGTAGTGGGTTACAAATTCGGCTGTTAACATCAAGGTCAGCAGTTCAAAATGACTAGTTGCTTCTCCATGGGAGAAAGATGAGACTTTCTGCTCCTTTAAGATTTACCACCTCAGAAAGCCTATACTAAAGACGTACAACCTCAGAAACCCTATACGAGAATGCTTAGATGGAACCGACTCCATGGCACACAACCACCACTACCACACTACCATAGGCATGTAAGCAAAAGAAAGAAAGAGAAAAAAACGTTTTCTGGAAAAGTACTTCAAGATATAATTGCATATATGCAAATATCATTTTATAGCTTCAAGTTTCTACCTGATTGTGAAAACGTTTATCCTAGTAAATCTGCTCATTTTGATACCTGGTGTTTACCCTCAATTTTACTTATTTTCATTTTTATCTTTTCCAACAGGCTGAAGCCATTCAAGTGAACCCACTTTATATTTTGATCCCCTCTACTCTGTGTACTTCATTTGCATTCCTCCTGCCAGTAGCAAATCCACCCAATGCTATTGTTTATTCATACGGTCATCTCAAGACCATTGACATGGTGAGTTGTCACAAAAGGATATTACCAGCTGGAATACGTATTTTTAGTGGTCTTAAGTTCTCTCTCTTTATATCCAGAGGGAAAGCATGGCTTAAATTCTGCTTCAGAAAGCTAGTGAATTACTGGTCATAGAGTTGTTTTTGAGATTCCAACTATTAGGGAGCAGGCCGTTCAAATTGACAGTCACAAAACCATAGATATTGACTGTCCCAGTAATATCCTGGAGGAAGGAAAGGAGTTCAACATGGCTGCTTAGACTTGCATCTCAAGATCAGGATTCCATCTAACCTAGGCAAAAGGAATTATTAATAAATAATAGAGTTAATGAAATTCAGCAATCAAAATAACACTATCGTAGATCTCTATGTGGCCAACATTTGCTCTGAACAAGACATTGAACTCAATGCTTGTCATATAAAAACATATCTTTCTTATTCCAATTCTGATACTCATCCTTTTATGGTTTCATAAAAATTGACTTTCTGATACTAGCACATTGATGTAAAAGCACATGGAGAAGTGATAAAACATGGACATCTTTCCCAAATATAAATTAGGGCTAGAGTAAAAATCTGGCTTAAAAGTATTGTAGCCAAGTCTCATCTTAATGATCCATTTACAATCCAACTCAAACCAACAGATAACCAAGGAGATTCGGTGAGTTTGCTACACAAACACAGAGTCAAGATAAATCCCATCTCTCATCTTTCTCCTAGATTTCTATTCCTGAGCCCCTGCTACATAAAAGTTCTGGAACTAACTCTGTGAATAAGTTATATGCTATAGTTGTGATAAATCAAATGACAAGCAATGCCCTTATAAATGTCTATTAAAAATAAAAATAAAAACAAGATGCTGCAGCAAAATGAGTGCCTTACATGGGCAGAAAAGGGGGCTCTGTGATAATCATTACTAGGTTTCCCCATTTTACTTTGTTGTTATTGTTACGTGCCATTGAGCCAGTTCCAATGCATAGTAACCCTGTATAGGGTTTCCAAGGAGCAGCTGGTGAACTTGAACCAGCAACCTTGCCATTCAAACAGCTTTGTAGTCTGGTGCATTAGTCCACAGCGCCACACCAGGACTTCATTTTGCTTTGTTGTTGTTAAGTGCCGTTGAGTCGATTCTGACCCATAGCCACCCTGTATAGGGTTTCCAAGGAGCAGCTGGTGAGCTTGAACCACTAACCTTGCAGTTCAAACGGCTTTGCAGTCTGGCGCATTAACCTACAGCGCCACACTAGGATTCCTTGCATTTTGCTCTAGGACTCCCTATTTTAACACATAGGTCTAGAAAAGGGCTATGTAATAAATACTTTAGGCTCTGTGGGTCATACAATCTGTTACAGCTACTCACCTTAATCACCATGTAGCCACAGATAAAACAGAAACAAATGTGCATAGCTGTTGCCCAATAAAACTTTATTTACAAAACTGATCACAGACAATAGTTTTCTCCTTGGCAACCCTGTACAGGGTCACTAGGAGTTGGAACTTAACCCACAGCACTTAACAACAATAACAACAATTTTAATGGATGAGCCATGATAGTGCTGTTGGAGAAGCACTGGACTGACAAATTAAGGTCAGCAGTTCAAACCCACAAGCTGTTTCATAGGAGAAAGATGATGCTGTCAGTACCCATGAAGATGTACAATTTCAGAAACCTTATCTAAGGTCTGTGTGAGTCAGAATACACTTAATGGTAGTGGGGGTTTTGTTTGGGCATTTTAGTGAACAGACAGAACCATGGAAATGTTTGTATAGGCGCCAGAATGATAATCTATGACTCAGGCAAAATGTGAACTCTAAGGAAGATGAAGAGAAGTAGCATTAATAAGAGTCAATAAGAGAATACAGAGAAGTAAAGTAAAAATATGCACCACTGGTCTGTCAGTTGTTGTTCTGATGCTGGAATCTATGCCAGCAGTTTTTAAAATACCATCAAGGTCACCCATGTGGAGAGACTTCAGTGGTGCTTTCAGAATAAGATAGACTAGGAAGAAGGAGAGGCGAACCACTTCTGAATGGTTGTCCACTGAAAACCTTGTGAATAGCAGCAAAACGTTGTTAGATGTAGTGCTGGGAGGTAAACTTCATGAGTTGGAAGGCACTTAAAATATGACTGGGGAAGGGCTGCCTCATCAAAGTAGAGTTGAACATAATGACAGTGGAACAAAGCTTTCAGCCCTTCATTTGCTCATGGGACACAGTTCAAAATGAGAAGAAACAGCTGCAAATATCCATTAATAATTGGAACTTGGACTATATGAAGTATGAACATAGGAAAAGTGGAAGTTGTCAAAAAATGAAATGGCATGCATAAAGATCTATATCCTAGGCATTTAGTGAGCTAAAGTGAACTGGTATTGGCATTTTGAATCAGATAATCACATGGTTTATTTACTGTATAGCAAATGACAAAAACCGTGTTGCATTCATAGTTTGAACGAGCATTTCAGGATCCATCTCAAAATGCAATGCTGTCTGTGATAGGATAATATCCATACACATACAAGGAACCCAGTTAAGACCACTATTATTCAAACTGTCTCACCAGCCCTTAAAGTCATTGATGATTAAATTGAAGAATTCTACCAACTTCTTCAGTTTGAAATTTATCAAACATGCAATCAAGATGCATTGGTAATGACTGGTGATTAGAATGTGAAAAGTGAAAACAAAGATGAAGGATCAGTAGTTGAAAAATATAACATTGGTGATAGAAACAGTGCTGGAGATCTCATGACAGACTTTTTCAAGACCAACAACTTATTCATTGCAAATGCCTTTTGTCAACAAAATAAACAGAACAGTAAGTGTAGATCTTATCAGATGTAACACACAGGAATCAAATTGACTACATCTGTGGGAAGAGACAATGGAGATGCTTAATAACACCAGCCAAAACAAGATCAGAGGTTGACTGTGGAACAGACTACTAACTCCCATATGAAAGATCAGACTGAAGTGAAAAAAAAATTAAAACGAGTCCATAGGACCCAAAATAGGACCTTGAGTTTAGAGACTATCTCAAAAACAGATTTGATGCATTAGACTCTAATGACTGAAAACCAAAAGAGTGGTGAAATGACACATGAAGAAAAGAAAATGTCACTCAAATGAAAGTAAAGAAATAAAATACTAAATTGGATGTCAGAAAAGACCGAACTTCGCTCCTCAGAACCTAAAACAATTGGAAGAGATTATGAAGTAAAAGATCTGAACAGAAAATTTCAAAGGGCAGTTAGAGAACACAAAGTCAAATATTATAAGAAAATGTATAAAGACCTAGATTTAAAAAACCAGAAGGGAAGGGCACACTCAGCTTTTCTCAACTTGAAAGAACTGAAGAAAAAATTCAAGCCTTGAGTTTTGTAATTGCTGGTCAACCACTTCAAGAGGTACCGTATGATTGAGAACCGAAGGTATTAAAGGAAGAAGTCCAATGTGCACTGAAGGCATTGTTGAATAACAAGGTTCCAGGGATTGACTAAATGCAATCTGAAATCTTTAAACAAACTGATGCATTTCTGGAGACACTCACTTATTTATGCCAAGAAATTTGGAAGACAGCTGTTTTGCCAATGGATTATAAGAGATCCATGTTTGTGCCCATTCCAAAGAAAAGTGACAGAATGTGGAAATCATCTAACAATATCATTAATATCACATGCAAGTAAAATGTCACTGAAGATAATTCAAAGTGATTGCAGCAGTACATCAACAGGTTGTTGTTGTTGTTGTTGTTGTTGAGGACCATGGAATCAGTTCCGACTCATAGTGACCCTGCACAGGGTTTCCGAGGCTGTAAATCTTTACAGGAGCAGAAAACTTCATCTTTCTCCAGTGGAATGGCTGGTAGTTTCAAACTGCCAACCTTGAGATTAGCAGCCCAATTCATAACCACTACGCTACCAACAGGTTGTTGTTGTTGTTAAGTGCCGTCGAGTCAGTTCCGACCCATAGCGACCCTGTACAGGGTTTCCGAGGGTGTAAATCCTTACGGGAGTAGAAAGCCTCATCTTTCTCCCGCGGAGCGGCTGGTAGTTTCGAACCGCTGACCTTAAGGTTCGCAGCCCGATTCGTAACCACTACGCTACCAGAGCTGCCAGAAAATCAAGCAGGATTCGGAAGAAGACTTGAAACATTGCTGATGTTAGATGGATCTGTGTTAAAAGTGGAGAATACCAGAAAGATTGTTACTTTTTTAACTATTCAAAGACATCTGACTGTGTGGACCATACCAAACTATGAAGAACATTATGAAGGATGGGAATTCCTGAACACTTTATTGTGCTCATGAGGAACTTGTATATAGACGAAGAAGCAATTGTTCAAACAGAGCAAGGGGATACTGAATGTTTAAAATCAGGAAAGTCATGTACCAGTATTACATTTTTTCACCATATTTATTCAATCTGTATCCTGAGCAGATAATCCCAAGAAGCTGGATTATATGAAGAAGAACATGGCATCAGGCTTGGAGGAAGACTCACTAACAACCTGCAATATGCAGATGGTACAACCTTGGTTGATGGAACAAAATAGGACTTGAAATACTACCTGATGAAGATCAAAGACTAAAGCCTTCAGTATGGGTTACACTTCAATGTAAAGAAAAAGAAAAAAAAAAACCGTCACCACTGGATAAATAAGTATCATCATGATAAAGGGGAAAAAAATAGAAGTTGCCAAAGGCTTCATTTTGCTTGGATCTACAATCAACAGTCATGAAAGCAGTAGTGAAGAAATCAAATGACATATAGCAATAAGCAGATCTACTTTAAAGTATTCAAGAACGAAATGTAAGCTTGAGAACTATGGTGCACCTGATTCAAGCTAATGTATTTTCAGTTATCTCATATGGATGTGACATTTGGATAATGAATAAGGAAAATTGTAGAATATCTATGCATTTGATTTATGGTGTTCATGGAGAATGAAAATATCAGGAATGTCAAGAAGATTAAAAAAAAAAATAAAATAAGACAATTCTGTATTGGAAGAAATGCAGCCAGAGTGTTCCTAAAAGCCAGAATATGGAGACTTTGTCTCTCATTCTTTGGACATGCTGTCAGGAAGGACCATTCCTTGGAAAGGACATCATGTTTGGCAAAGAGGAGGGTCAGCAAAAAAGCAGAAGACCCTCACTAGATGATTGACACAGTAGCAGAAACAATGGGCTCAAACATAGCAACAATTATGAGGTTGGTACAGGACCAGGCAGTGTTTCATCCTGTTGTGCATAGAGTAGCTATGAGTCAGAACTGACTCAATGGTACCAAACCACATCAACAAACAAAAATATTAAGTAAATAGGAAGGATATGGTTTTAAACAGCTTGTTTTGCATGGGCAATAATGATCTGAAAATCATCCAACTGAAATATGACATGATAAAGTACAAATTGTGTTTTAATATGAATTGACAAAATTTTAAAGGGATTTTTCCCTAAGCAGAATTATTTAAGTATGTTCTTGAGCTGTATCACTCTGAGATTCCATCTACATCACATTCAGTTGGGACAGATGCGCTTTGTCATGAGTGGAAGATAACAATTTCTACTAATCATGTAGGATTGGTAGGAATCTAGCATATGTTTTCTACAGTCTTCCAGTTTTCTCAGAGGTTTTCTTCCTGGAAGACTGACTTTTATGCTCTATCTGGTTTAAGGTTAAAGCTGGACTTGGTGTGAACATAGTGGGCGTTGCTGTGGTGATGCTTGGCATGTTCACTTGGATCGTGCCCATGTTTGACCTCCAAACTTATCCTTCTTGGGCTCCTGCTGTGAGTAATGAGACAATGCCATGACCAGCAGGAATGTTCTGTCCTTTGGTGAGTTTTGGAATCATGACACATTCACTGTAAATTTGGGCTCTGAATAACGAGGAGACATTTAACTCAGAACTCATGTAGCTTCTGTGGTTCCAGCAAGACCTGCTGTCAAGAGTCAAGTGTTCACATCTTCTTTAAGATGCAGCCCAAGTACATCTGCCTGTCTTCATCAAGAAGCCTGGGGCTCAGATTTTGCTCATGGACCATCTGGATTTTGCTTCATCCTAGGTTTATTTATAATTTGACCTTCAAAGAGATTAGAGCATTGGCTTGAAGTTCAGGTTCATCTTAACATTTCAAACTTTGTTATTTTAGAACCTCCCTATGAAACTAGATATAGGAAATAAAATGCATGTTAATTAGTATTTGTTGATACATCATTTCTATAGTGTTTTTCAAAGGAGTTTTCTGAAAACCCACGCTGTGGTCAATCAAATGGTGGTACAGATATAATAATAATAATGTAAGTGGAATGTGAATTCTCTCATTCAACAAAATAACCCACTTATAGCATTCTTAACATATAAGTAGTACAAAATTAAAATGTAATTAATAGTTCTAAAAGTATAACTGAATTAAATCCACTAAACTATAGAAAACCCATAGATAAGGATTCATTTCCCATTGACCATGTGTATAAATTAATATAATTCATACTTTTATAAGTTTAGTGTGCTAAGATATGCATTTTGTAGAAACATGCATATAGTTTGATTGTATTTAGACTATTAACTCAGTATAGTAAGAAAGGAAAGCTAAACTCTATAAAACACTAACAGATTTCTGTACATATATAAAACTTTGCTAAAATGGTAGTCTTATTTCTGAAATACATAATGAATAATAATGCATGTAAAATGAGGAGATGCACAAATTTTAAATTAATTACCATTGTACATACAGACATAGAAAATGGTCAAATAACTACATTATATAAACATTGAAATGAAATTGCAAAGAAGAAATAAAAAGTTAAAAGCTGTTACAATGTTTACTAAAACAGAAAAATCTATTATTATTGACAAACCAAAAAGGAAAAAGGAAATAAAACCGAATATCTAAACAAATGTAGGATGAGAACAGTCCTCTAGCACTCAGGGTTTGACGAATGATAAGGTCTATTAGCACTTGAAAATTAGATGACAGAAAAAAAAATAGCAATTGAGAACTAAATAATACACACATGTCAGAATAGATGGAGAAGTTAAAACACAGCAAGGTTCTAAAAATAAAATAAAGACAAAGTTGAAAAGATGCCTTTGCTAATTTTAATGTTCATTGTCACCTTTGCAAAATATATTAAACCTGTTTCCTTTTTTCTTTTTGGCAAATCAGTTTTGAAATTAAATGTAATATAGGGGTTTTTTAAAAAATGTTAAGACATTTAAAAAATGTATATATGAAGAACTGTCTATGTTCATTATGTGTCTATGTTGTTTTGTTCAATGGAAATTCAATTATTTTTCAGAACACATTTGTCTATTTTAACCCCTAAATAAGCTACTGTTTTGTGTATATGATTTTCTAAAACATATTTATCTATTTTAACCCTTCAATATAATACTGTGTTTGTTTTTTTTTTTTGTAAAGCTCTGCTCTATTTACTTGTTTGTTTTGCTATCACTTTAGACAGTTATTTATGATTCACAGCATTTATTTGCATTTCTGCTTTTTTCTAGTTAATCGCTGCTGAGTTATAACATACAATGGATACATTTTCTTTATGAAAAAAAAAAAACTCTTAAAAATTCTAATGAGTAAGTTTTGCTCTGAAGAAAATGATATAAATATTCTGCCTGAATAACTCTAATGAATTGCTTTCAACATCTGCCAACTAAGTACAGGGAAAATAATACTTAGTCAAAATTTGTTTGAATGAGTCACACAGTATTCTTTCTACATCTTTATGTTTGGTTGTTATATCAAAAATGCCTTACCTCATCCATTTTACATTTCCCCAATTACATCAAATCTCCTAAGCACTTTAGCTTGAGGACTGCATACTGACTTTGAAAGTTTCCAAAAGGCAGCTCTAAACAGATGCTCAAAGGACCCTTTGTCCTCACCCACTATGGTAGGTAGTGTTTTTGTTATTATCTTGATCATCACTTAAAGGTTAACAAGGAACTTTGTCACTTTAAACCCCAGTCTCTTATTTAGGGTAGGATCCTGTCTAGATAATAGTAGCAATTTCACTAAGTGTCTATTTACTGTCTGTTCATGCAATTGCTGCAGGATTTCTCTGGCATATGTGTATCCTTCACTCACGCTAAGGAGCATTGTAAATTCTAGAAGTCAGACTTGCCCTCCTCTGGAAGATGTGCACTGTTTTCACCTTGCTTTATTTTCATCCAGGATTTGGTTTTCTCCTTTGAGCCTGGAGGGTTAGGAAATATACAGTCAGCCAATAATACCAATTAACCTTACTAGCAAAAATGCAAATATGAGTAAAACATCATCCTACTAAATTAATTGTGCCTTGATGTCTATCCAATATAACATTATATGCAACTGATTATTATAATTAGAAGAATTATTATGTATCTGTCACGGATAAATATATGATACAAAAAATGTGATGACTTATGTTCCAAAACTTTATTAGCTCAATTAAACTATTATTGTTGTTTTATATGTGGATTTTGCCAAATTACATGGTTTCATTTTTTGGTAGGAGGAAAGGCTGCCTTAGAAATTAATGTATAAGCACAGGCAAACTGGTTCTGTTCTGTTTTTCTAACAGAATTTACAAGTTCCAACAGTGACTCCAGCACTGCTTTTAGCCACGTTGTTCCTAAACGAAGCACTTTATTAGTTCATTAGGAATTTGATAGGCAAACTTTGGCAATGGAAACATCACCATCATCAGTCCTCACTGGACAGGCAAGACCAGACTGCTAATCCAAGAATAAACAAGTAAACATAGGTATAATGCAGCAGAAATTTAAGGTTCTTCCAAATCATCTTTGTTTGTAAGAAAAAGACACAGCACAGTTTAAAACAATGTTAATTTAATAATAATGAGATTTTCACTTCTGTGAAATCATTTGGTCTGGCCCTGCCAAGGCAACAGCTGGTGGGACTCAAAATTTAATAAATCTAGGAACCTTTGTTATAGCAACATAAATTTATGTTAAGTGATATTATAAATACCCAAATGGCCCTTGGAAGGAAAAAAGTTATCCACCCCTGTCCTAGAGACTGCATTCTGAATTTGGACTTGTAGCTTCAAAATTGTTAGAGAACCGGTTTTTGTTTTTTAAAGTCATCCATTTTTGGCATTTCTGTAACAGTGGGTATCTAAGTGGCAAAAAGTCTATCTGAAAATTCATTATAGAATATACCACTCAGGTTCTTTGTCAATTTTTAATGGAAACTTACAAAATCCACCAAGAAATAAAGCCTAACTCACAACATCCAACATAAACCAAAGATACAGAACCCAAGATACCAAGATAGCAGGCATGCAATGATAAAATGTAGACTATGAAATGAGAAACTCTAATGTTTGAGATTACAGAAGAGATTTTGAAAATAAAGTATGGCAGGCAGAATTCTAAAAATGTCTTTCTAAGATTTCCATCTGCTAGCTATTCAACCAAACACTAATCTAGGTTGTGCTGTGAAGGGATTTTGCAGATGTAATTGAGGTTACTAATTAGCTGGCATTCAAATCCTGAGTTATGCGGGTGGGTTCAATGTGATGCTATGCGTCATTAAAAGCAGAAGAGGAAGTCAGGAAGACTCAAAGCATGAGGAAAACCCATGTGAGCTTTTAAGATACAGTGGGTTAAGAGTCAGGGAGTGTGGGAAACCTAGAAGCAGAGAATAACCCCCAGCTAAACTCCATCAAAGGGAGCTCTGGTAGCGTAGTGGTTACGTATCAGGCTGCTAATCTCACGGTCAGCAGTTCGAAACTACCAGCTGTTCCGCGGGAGAAAGATGAGGCTTTCTGCTCCTGTAAAGATTTACAGCCTTGGAAACCCTGTACAGGGTCGCTATGAGTCAGAACTGACTCCACGGCACATCACAACAACAGCAACAAACTCCATCAATGAAACCAGGATCTCAGTCTTACAACATCATGTAACTGAATTAAGGCCAAAAAAACCCCTGAATGAACCTACTAGAAGATTCTTCCCAAGTATCTTCAATAAAGAATGCAGCACTACAACACCTTGATTTTATCCAATGAGTCCTGTGTTGAACATCTAATCTACGGAACCGTAAATCACAGTAAATGTTACTTGAAGTCACTACGTTTGTGATAATTTGTTATGACTGGTTAATGTACTCCTGTAACCTTTTTTGAAATGTCTTCAGCAAAATTTTACTTACATTTGATATTAGTGATATTGTTATATGATTTCCATATTCTGTTGCTTCACCTTTCTTTGGAATGGGCATAAACGTTGATCTTTTCTAATTGTTTGGCCAGATAAACTATCTTCCAAATTTCTTGGCGTAGAAGAGTCAGAGTTTCCAGGGCTGTATAAGTTTATTGGAAATTTTCAATTTGTATTCCATCAATTCCTGGAGCCTTGTTTTTCACCACTGTTTCTGGGGCAGCTCGGACTTTTTCTTTTAATACCAGTGGTTCTTGATCATATGCTACCTCTTGAAATGGTTAAAAACTGACCAATTCTTTTTGGTACTATGTGTATTCCTTCCATCTTCTATTGATGTTTCCATCGCTGTTTAATATTTTGTCCATAGAATCCTTCAATATTGCAACTTGAGGCTTGAATTTTTTCTTCAGTTTTTCCAGCGGAGAAATGCTAAATGTGCTCTGCCCCCCTCCCCCTTTTTTTCTTTCTAACTCCAAGTCTTTGCATATTTCATTGTAATACTTGACTTTGTCTTCCTAAATGCCCTTTGAAATTTTCTGTTCAACTCTTTTACTTTATCATTTCTTACATTCACATTAGCATTTCTATGCTGGAGAGGAAGTTTCAGAATGTTTTCTGAACTCCATT